TCCATTTTTTCCACTCACGACAACAGTCTCCTTTTCCATTCTCCACTCACGAAAAATAAAAAAATGTAATTAAGTCTATTGTTTTTTCAAGAGTGACATATATAAATACTCTCTTTCATGTGGGGTCAGCGTTCACGGTACTCTATTTGCAGTCCTATTATCTTCAAAAATACTGATACTCCGTTGCTTATTAATATTTACAAATGAGACAAAAGTGCAATGAGAAGCAAAAAACTGCATCAAATATGTAAGGTTTTCTGTTACAGTGGTCGCGCAGAAGTAATTGAGTTCAACTTCCTGAACCACTTTTGATATTGCTCTCTCGTGATGCAACTAACTCAGCGATAATCAAATCTATTGCTCTTGTTTCGAAAAAATCAATTGACATGGCAGACTTGAGTGGTCTTCTCGTTTCTACTCAGTAGTGTCAATGAATCAATCCTTTCTGAAAGTGTCAGCAGTAGATCGTTTTGCCGGTTCGAAAAGACTACAACTTGTTTTCATTGCACGTCCAGCAAGCTCTTACACATAATGTTATGTGTATTAGTGGATGGTCGTACAAAATCTGTATCAATGAGGGTTTGGTAGAAAGCTTCTTAAACTTGCTTCAGGCGATGAAGATAATGGACAGCTTATCAATGATGGAATGTTGGATGGTACGGAGGTGCACACAGGAAATTTGACTCTGCGTATAATATAGCTTGCCCTGTTACAATTGAGTAGATAACGGACTATCGGACTATGAAGATTTCAATAACTTTAATTTGCGCTTCAATTCTATTTACATATAGTTCTTCTATTTCCAAACTGCATTAAGTTGTCCGGCATGATTCACGAGAGAGGATGATTGAAAGAGTACACGCAATTTAAAATATCTTAAGCCCAAGGTTTCATTAATATCGTTAAATATTTCATTCACATGGAAAACCCCAAATTTTGGTGAATCTATTTTGGACCACCTGTGACGACCATAATGAAGTTCTTTCGGAACAGGTTGTGAATCTCCATCCACTCGTGCCGAGATTAATGAACACAGCTTGCTTATAAATTGCAAAAGGCTATTTTAGTAGCATCATTTTACCAGCGTTTGATGCACTACCACGTCGCGTTCGTGCATTACCACTGGAGATAGGTCATCCTGCTAACAAGGAGTGCTGATCGGCTTTCTGAAAGCTCTACCTTTTCTGTCATGTGCCAGCTCATGTTGACTCACCATTTGTATAACGCAAGGCCATAATGCTCCAAACTCGAAATTCTGTTGACGAATTCCATACTTGATATCGAGTACTTTCAATACTATTAGCACTGCAATAATTCTGGAGTCCCCGATGTTAAGCCAAGCGCTTTACTCAAAAGCAGGACCCAGAGCCTCTACCTTTTGTACATCTTTTTGACATGGCTGAATAAAGAAAGCGATGTACCACTCCAGTATCACAAAATTTTGTTTTGTTGACCAAAATGGTAGAAACTATGGTACGCGGCAAGTCGGTCGCGTACGTACAGCTACCAGAGCTGGACGGACACTCGCGGAAGGTTTATGCTCTTGAATTCAATTGCAATGGATCTATGTTAGCATCAGGCTCTAACGATCGGAGTATCCGCATCTGGGATCCCGCTGCGGTACGCCATTATCTATCCGTCTGACATTTGCTCATGAGCGTTATACTGATCAGGAGCGAGAACTTATCGATTTACGCGGACACTCGGACTCAATTATGTCATTGGCTTGGGATCCTACAATGCCACACCGCTTGGCCAGCACAGGTGCTGACAAAACTGTTCGCTTTTGGGATGTCAAGAGCGGGCGCATAGTCAACAGCGTCTCGCTGCCCAGCGACGCTGTTAACATTGCGTACAGCCACGACGCCAAATACGTTGTGGTGGGTAATTTAGATTGCATCACACTCATCGATACGCGTAAGGCGCGCGTAGTACGTCGTGTTGTAAACCCGTTCGAGTCGTATGAGATGCAATTCAGCAAGGACGGATTTCTCTTCGTGGCGGCAGGTCATGCTGCTGGATTTGGTACATTTGAAATTATGCGTGTAGTTGCTGAGAAAAAAGGAAATCCGTCTCTAGAAAGTGCCCACAAGGTGACATTGTGACCAGATCATCGCGCTTAATCAGTAGAGCTCATCGTTCGCGGTGCATTGTATTGTTCTCAGGTCACCGCACATGCAGGAAGCTGTGTCTGCCTCGATTTACATCCGACTCGAAGGTTTGACGGGTAAAAATATTGCTTAGCGAGCAAGACTAACGCTGTTTGTTACCAAGATTCCTTGTTTTAGGGGGGCTGGATTCTCTGGTGAGTATGTGGGATTTAGAAGAACTCTACTGCGTCAAAACTTTTGTTGTCACAACGTATGCGATTTTCCACTTCTCATTCCTGAGTAGTATTATGCTTGCTCACACGTTTGTTTGGTTATCTGCGTATTGCAGATCAAGCATCCGGTCTGTACGCTTCAGTCACGATGGCAAATATATAGCGATTGGCATGGATGATCCCAACTTGGTCGTAGTAGACGTTGAAAGCGGCGATAAGGTTATCAACCTGCAGCTCCAAAACAACTTGCAGTACCTGAGCTGGCACCCTAGTAAAAATCTTCTGGCCTACGTCGGAGACAAGGCCGCTAGTGATAAGAACTCTAACCGTGACGGCGTCATCAAAATTATTGAGATGACAAAGTAGGACTTGTCCATTTGAGATGATCATGAAATCAGAGCAAAAAATAATGACACTCTCGGCAAGTCAGCTTGTAAGCTGACGCTCGTATTTTGCATTAATGACGATCGAGCAAACTACTTGGCAGCTGACTCTTGCCATTTTACGAGTCCTAAAAGTTCTAAGCTACCCGATGTGTTTAATCAAGACCCCACACCAATTTGATAACCGGTGATTAAGCTGAAATCTTGCGGTATCTAAATTAAAGTTGTAGGTGCTAGCAAGCGCACGCTACTGCTGAAATTGAATACTCGTGACGACAAGCCAACAGCCCCTGGTGCCAAAATTAAAACATCAGTCATTCAGATCAGAAATTGTGTCGTCAAACGAAGTGCCTTCTGGTGGTGATAACGAGCAACCTTGTTCGGGTAGCAACCATATTTGAATAAGCTTGGTGTCTTCTCTGTGAGCATGAGTTTGTGTGTTTTTGTTTTTATCAACAACCCGAAAAGTTTGCAAGAGTAGATTACGCAACTGCTTATGTGTTGTGACTGACTGTTGCAAAAAAATTAGTTGAAATTGGTACCAAAGTCACAAAGATTTTCGACTAGCTGGGATAGACTCAGAGATCTTGTGCCATTTCTTTATGGGTCTAGCATAATATTTTGTCTTCAACACATTGGTCATACGCACGATTGAAACACCCGTCGAACTTTCGCCAGGTCCGGCAGTATAAATATTAGGAAGCTTGACTTAATATACTGATAGGTGTAGTCAAGAATAGCAGGTGGGCCGTCAGCTGCCACCACTATTCTCGCGTTCAATGTACACAAATCTTAAAAAAATCATAAATGCAATAAAAGTGCGAAACGGATATATGGTTGGCAAATCCGCGACATATTGCAAAATTATTTTGACGTCTTACATTTGAAAAAAACATGGTAATCACACCTGTCCAAATATCGTTATAGCCTCACGCAAGTGCTCAAGCTGTATTTAGATAGTTAAACAGAGATCAGCACAGCATCGGTTACTCAGGCCTTACTAGAACACGGGTGCAGTTCCATCAAGCCGAACGGTCCTGTGTATGGTATTTTAAAGCGGTAAATGTACACATCCCACAACGACAAATCTATATGCCAACTCGAGATGTGTTCACTCTGGCTTATAGCTAATGACCCATATGTGCAAAAGCTGTTGTCTCCTTTTCAGTAATAGTTTTGTTCATTATGATTGACCCAGTTAGCCATATTTTCGTCGAAACTACAGGCGCCAACTTCTACGGCTCAAGTTCGAAAGCAATTGTAAGATAGCATAATGGACTGTGTGCAGCGGGGCAGCTGTAGCTCTTTGCTTAGAGGAAGCTAAGCTTCGGTCACCGACCATACTTTCAGTACAAAAACCAGTACGATTGTAGCGGATACACAACCCGCTACTTACAAGAGTATTTAAAACCTTAGCCAAGGTAAAGAGACGCTTATGTATAAAATTGAAACTATATTCAATTATTTTAGATTTTCCTGATTAAACAGTTTACCTATTTGATATAGTAAAACCTGCTTAATATAGTAATATACATTACTACTGGCTCCTTGTTATGGTGTAGTTACACCACTGTGTGATTACACTAATTTGTGTAATACACACCTATGTAGGGGCGCACAAATTTGTGCGACCCTCCCTCTCATACAAGGTACGTGTAACTCCGTTACACTCTCCCCAATCAAAAATTTATTTAACCACAATTCACATTTAACTGTCGCCACATACGAGGCTCACGTCTCTGTGACATCGTTAAGTCCCTAGGACATCTTTGAACATTCCCCGCTCAATGAGCCTTATGTCTATGACACGAAAAACAACCATCCTTGCTTGTTCCGAGGGCGCCCGCAGTAAAATTCTTTCTTCTGTATCTGCACAGGGCGCATTTCCGGACATTAAGTCCGCGGCTTCACGGGAAGCACATCCCAAGCCCTCGGCAACCGAGCACAACACACCGCGCTCGCCCCGAGCGACGGATTACCTCGTCGGGGATTTGGAGAAAGTCGACTACGAGTCGGATAGTCCGTTTGTAGCATTAGATGACGAGGAAGATGAGGTGCGCCAACGGCACGACGTGAACCCTGCTAAAACCTGCGAACACCGTGTCCGTTCCCCGACCTCTTGACTTCCGAGGGAAGTGGCATTGCTACCAATCGCCTCGGCGAGGCACAGGTACAGCTGTTGGAGGCTGCCACAGGGCGGCTCTCATGCGCTCGTATCCACGTTTGGTCTTAGACCCTCGTGTGGAGTACGACTTTCAATTGGCGGATCCCGCTTCTGAAGAGAAAAACGCAATCACTCGATCGTTAGGCCTCTACGTAGTCCGACCCCCTAAGCTTGATCAATGAAAAGAACTTTAAGCTCGCTTCTTGGTACCCCAAGAAATCGCAATATATCGGCACGCACACGACTTTGAGCTAAGAAATTAGGTCTTCTGTTCCCGCAATGTCGACCATTCCTGTGTTGCTCGCCCCTGGCAGAACTGCTGCCGATGATGGGTATCTATGAGCGATGGGTGCAGCGGCCTTGAAAACTTTCATCGCTGTCTACGTTACAGTGCATCCACAAGGATGTAGACATGCGTTGAGCGACATCTTAAATTTGAATTTGTCAACTGCAAGGCGCAACGCCGACTCCTTGCGTATTATCGCCCTGCGACAATTGGAACACTCCATCACGCTCTCGCGAGCTCTGTGATTTTTCCACGGGTGTGTTTACGGCCACAGCAGCTTAGGGCATAGCTTAAACTCAGCTCATGGCCCTCCGGCTTCCCGGGCTATCGTCGAGAAGTGCGGGAAGCACGACGACGCGAAGCGTCATTTTTTTTTTGATCATACGCATCCACGGCAGTCTTGACAAAATGGTAACTCAATATCACACGATTTCTCGGAGTTTTGGTATCCCAGCCACTTCACAAGATATTGGTTTGATCCTGTCGACGACGTCGACCCACAAGGGGTTTCACATGGTAGTGGACGCCACCATTTTCATCGTGAAGAGTCGGCGGCGAACGATGCCGACTTACTCGATCGCCGTCCGGTGAATCGCGATGCTCTTCGAGCTTCGGAGGACAAAGTCCGTCCATATTAACATTACGCCGAGCACCTTTCCGAGATTGCTTTCCGCTGTGCGGAAGTCTTCGAAAGCCTGAAGCACTTTGTGCACCGACCGCCCCCTGTTGAGAATTATCGTGCTTTGTCGGAACAGCTCCTTGCCGTCGAGTAGACCAAAACGTCACTTTGTACGACGGTGGAGCGCCTTACGCCGTTGGAAACGGAAATTTTTGCATTCCGTGCTCAGTTCTAGTGGCTGGTTCAGCTTCTGGGTGGCCGAGCGCGTTTGAGCGCCGCCTTCTCTTCCGCCGGATCCCGGTACGAGCCCACATAAAACACCGAGTGGGTGCGCATCCTTATTGGAATGTTCAGCGAATACGCAAGGCCTCGCTTGGCCACAATCTTAAAAGGCCCGATAAACCGTGGACATAGCTTTGTCTTTAAGACAGCAGAGACTGCATGTAAAGGTAGTTTTCGGCGTTTGATAAAACCAGGTCTCCGACCTTAACGTTTTTCACATTTCTTCTGCCTCTTCCATTTGCATATTCGCTCTGTATGTCTTGGCTTTCTGCCATCGCAACCGAACGTGTCGTAGGAAACTCAGTCTGGGACACAAGTTCTTTGACTTCTTTATGGACTGTGAGGGGGCTGATATCAGCTAGCCGTTCGTCTTTCCCCCCCCCACCATGCCCTGAGCCAGGGGATGGTGACGTCATCGGGACGCGAGGAATTCAAGCCCGTTCATGTAGATCGGCCTGAAGCCGATAGATGACAGCACTATATTGTTCAGAGCAAACTCTACAAGTAGCAGCATGGCGGTCCTGCGCTTCGACGTCTCAGCGCAGACGCTGCAAAAGACGTCTTTAGAACGACGCGCACGCGCTCAGTTTGACCGTCGGTCCGCGGATGGTTCGCTGATGACATAGTCAACTTGGTGCCCAGCACCTGAAGATTTTTAACCAAACTTCTTAGTGGAGCGTGGGTCTTTATCAGCGACAATTGACTCCGGGAGTCCATGCCGTCAAAAGATGCGATCCACAAACAGCGTCGCTGTACCTACAACGTCGATGATGTCCGGCACTGCGCAAGATGAGCCATCTTGCTTAAACGGCCCACAAAGACCACCACACCCGTGTTATCTGCTGAGTCTTTCGGCAGGGCAAACGCAAAGTCCATACCCACGGCCTGCTGACACCCGGAGGGTACCGGTAAACTGGCCAGCGGCGCCGCCTAATTCAGAGAGAATTTCACTCTTTGACACATCTCACACGTGCGCACATGAGCTCGTCTCCTTGTACAGCTTGGGCCACCAGTAGCGGCAATTCACAGAGCTGTACGTCCTTCCACGACCGGGATGACCACTGAGTGGGGTGACGTGGGCCGCATATAAGATACAGAATTTCAAATCTGCAACATGAGGAACCACAATTCATGGCGTATCCATCGAATTGGTGCTATAATACAGCAGCACGTTCTTCAACGAATATCGGTGTAGCCGTGCGCGCAATCGTGCCAACAACTCTTGTCCGCCTGTTTTTTCTTCTTGCTCCCGAAAGCCTGTAGCAGCGCTACACACATACCATCACACGCGTATGTGGCACAGATCAAATCCGTCACTAACGAAGTCACCGTCGTGATACTAGCAAGCTCATAATCTGGTCTGCGTGACAACGCATCAGGCAAAGCATTCTGCTTTCCTGGCTTATGTTTCACCTCGAAGTTATATTCTGCGAAGAATGAGAGCCGCCTGGTCATCCTCTGCGAGAGGTGAGGCGATTGAGTCGCAGTGCGTAATGATGCATGATCTGTGACGACCCTAAACGGCTTTGAGCCAAGCAGGTGCACCATGAACTTGACAAGTGCATCCGCCATCGCAAGTAACTTCTTGTTGTGGACAGGGTAGTTTCTCTCCGCATTCTTGAGCTGGCGCGATTCGAACGCGATCACCAAATCTCGCCCATCGGCGTCTGCTTGCAGCGGTGCATAGCCAATGTTAAAGTCCGAAGCGTCAAAGAAGACACTAAAAGGACGATCGGGGGTCTGGCAAAACGCCAGTATTGGTGCATCAAGGAGGTTGCCTTTGGCCCTGTCAGACGCCTACCGATGCTCAGTGTTCCAACACTAACTCGTATCCTTGTTAAAGAGATTTAACGATTACCGTGTCATTCCCGCATAGCTCGCGCTGTTCTTGTGCAAGTAGTTCGCGAGGCCAAGCCGCTTGCCCAAGTTCTTTTGGTTCTTTGGGACTGGCCAGTCCACCATGGCCTTGACCTTAGCAGGATCCGCTCGAATACCACGCATCCCAATGAAGCACCCAAAAATGAATTTCTTCGGCGCCAAAGATGCACTTATCTGCATTAGCATACAGCTTAGTTGTGCGCATGCGCTCGCTCAAATGGACGATGTGGTTTTCCTCATATGTGCTCCCGTGCCCCGCACGACTGTAGACGAAGATGTCGTTGAAGTAAGTTTGTGTATACGCCCGGTGGGGCCTGAAATTGTGTCACAAGACGATTAAATGTTGTAGGTGCATTTGACAGCCCTTGAGGGATTAACAGCCACGACCAGAGCATGCCGATCGGAGTACTCACCGCTGTCAACGGAATATCACTTGCTCTCATGAGCAATTGGTAATACCCAACGACCAAGTCGAGTGCACTATTTTTATATAGCCGACTATGTTGTTCTGGAGAACACCCTCCCTAGGAATCGGCGTTCGTGTCGATATAGTGGAGTATTTAGCTTATTGTGAACGTGAATGATACGCAACTTGCCGTTCGGCTTTCGAACACAAAACGAGGGTGTCTAATGGATAATTTTACTCTTACGCACCATTCCTGCGTCGTTCTTTGCATGCTAACGCGTCAATGATGTCACACTGCTCTTTGGGCAGCGGCTATTGGCGTGTCACATAGTATTTGGTTCCCGGAAACAGATCGATTTCATTACGCACATCTCTGTCCGAAGGTAGGACCTAAGGTGGCTCTTTGGAGACGACGTCTTGAAATTCCATTACCAAAGGATAGTACGAATCCAAGAGATTCCGTACTATCGACGATCTACTTCGTGCATTCAGCACTCTCTTGGTGACCTCCAAGACAGCTTCATCCAGAAGCGATGACGAGTTTATATCGTCGTCCGGACG